TTTTCACGTGGTTTTAAAATTTCTAAACATAAAATTTATTTATTTGTTTAATACCTCAAATATACGTAAAGTTAAAAGATGTCTCGAATATGTCAAAAGATCGATCTGATCCGACCTTAAAAGGTAAAAATCTCTTCGTTCAAATCTAAATCTAACGACCCGAAAAAATTGTTTAGATCTGCATCGAAGTATACATTGGATCGAAGTTTGAATCGAAATTGAGTCAAACTTAAGTCGACTTATTGATTTTAATTATTTAATTAATTATTTTTATTAATTTTTAACCATTGCGACATTTAAATTAATTATTTTTAATAATATCGATGAACTATATGAAATTTAATGAATATGGCCGGAAATAAGTTGAGTCGGGTAAATTTAACTTTGAACCGAGCTTAGATCGAATCTGGACCAAACTTTGATAAAATTTCATACATCTTTTTCTCGGGCTTCTTGTCCCAAACATAGTCGTCTAATTACCAGATATCCTATTCTCAGACCTAAACACGATTATCTAATTTCTAGATATCTAATTTTCTGGCTTCTTGCTGCACCAAACACAGTTATGTAATTATCAGGTATACTATCCTCATGTTCAAACACAGTTATCTAATTACCAGATATCCTATTCCCATGTTCTTGTATCAAACACAGTTATTTAATTACCAGATATCTTATTCTCATGTTTTTGCACCAAATACAGTTATCTAATTATCGGATATTCTATTCTCTAACCCTAAATACAGTTATCTAATTAGTATATATTTTATTCTCTTACTCAAAAACAGTTTATCTAATTACCGGATATCATATTCACTGACCCATATACAGTTATCTAATTACTAGATATCATATTCTCTAATTCAAACACAGTTTATTTAATATCCGGATATCATACTCACTGACCCATGTACAGTTATCTAATTACCAGATATCATATTCTCTAACCCATATATAATTATCTAATTACCAAATTTCTCTAACCCTAAATACAGTTACCTAATGAGTAGATGTCCTGTTCTCTGACCCAAACATAGTTTATCTAATTACCAGATATCATACTCACTGACCCATATACAGTTATCTAATTATCAGATATCATAGTCTCTGACCCAAACACAGTTTATCAAATTACCAGATATCATACTCTCTAACCCATATACAGTTATCCAATTACCCGATATCATATTATATGACTCAAATACTATTTAATTATCATATATCCCATTCTCGTTAAGTAATTAATTAATTTTTATTTATAATTCGGTTACTATATATATTGGACTGCATTGAACATGGCATATAGTTTTTCCTTCCAACAACGTTAAAAAATTTCGATTTATACACACAATTTCAAAGGTCTGTTCATCAAATCCATCATTTTCCTCACTATATTTTTTGTTTTCAAAAGAATTATCTAAAAATTATCATCTGAATCCACCGACGTCGTTTTGAAATCCTTTGTTGGGACCGATTCGGAATTTTAACAGGAAGACATGGCGGAAGCGTCGTACGAGGAAGCCATTGCCGGTCTCAAAAAGCTTCTAAGGTATCCAATCCCTAAGCCACCGCTAATCCCGGCGGCGCCGACAACGTAAGCCCGACCCGGTTATCATCCATCTGACATGATGTATGTTATCTGCAGTGAGAAAGCTGAATTTCAGGAAACCGCCGCCGCAAAGATCCGGCAAATCACCGCCGAGCTGGTTGCCATCACTGCCGGTTCAACTCACTTCGATCCGGTCGATAGGATCCGAACCGGCTTCACCCATTTCAAGAAATCTAAATTCGAGTACCTATTTTTCACGTTTTTTTTTTAATATTTATATCTAAATTTTTCGAACACGAATAATATTTATTAAATAATAAATTCAATCTTTTTCGACCGTAAAATATATATTTTAAGTTAATTTTAATAAAAAAAATATATTTAAAATTTTTCAAATTTTAAATTTTAAAAATAATTAGAAAATAAATAATTGAAAACCCAACTCATACAATTTTTCATTTATTTAAAATTATTTTAAATAAATAAATAAATTAACAACCTAATTCGAATTAAACCTATTAAATTAAAATTTTAGAAACGGATTCGATCCATAATTATTTTATCTACTTTTAATCTATAATTTTTATTATTTGAACTCATTTCAACTCAGTAAATAATTTAAATTAGATTATTTCACTTATTATAATTTATTTTAAATAATAGTTAATTAAAAAGTAATAATTAATAATAATTTTTGAAGTTAGTAATTTATTATTATTTTATTTTTTATTCCCCAGGACGGATCCTGAATTGTACGGTCAATTAGCGAAGGGCCAAAGCCCGAGGTAAATTCGCAATTTCAAAAAATTAATGTGGGGGATATGTAATTTCAAGTTTCTTGAAGGGCTAGAATGATAAGGGCATCACTGCAATTAAAATCAGCCACTAAAAAACGCCCACGTGTAATTTGGCAGTTTCTGGTATTTGCGTGCTCGGATTCCCGAGTTTGCCCCTCACATATACTGAATTTTCAACCTGGGGAGGCCTTCGTGGTCCGTAACATCGCCAACATGGTCCCACCATTTGACAAGGTTAGTTTTGGAAAATTTATGATTAAACTTTTAAATTTTTTTAATTTTAAAAAAATATTCTTGAATTTTAAATTTTTTTAATTTAAAAGTTTACTCGTATTTCTATCTAGTTATAAATTTTTAAAATTTTTATAATTTTATTTTTAAAATTAATTTAGTTATAAATTATTTTATTGTTCATATTGTTTGTAGACCAAATATTCAGGAGTGGGGGCAGCAATTGAATATGCGGTATTGCATTTAAAAGTAGGTAATTTATATATATATATATATATATAATCTCCTATTTTCTTGGTTTGTGTTAAATAAAATTATAATTATAATTATAATTATTTTAGGTGGAGAATATTGTGGTAATTTCACATAGTTGCTGCGGTGGAATTAAAGGCCTCATGTCTATCCCAGAGGATGGAACCAATTCCAGGCAATTTTTTTTTAATTTTATTTATTTATTTATTATGTTGTTCATATTTAATGATTATATATATATATATATACATGGGTCGATAAATTGATTATGGAAACTACGAGGACTAAGTTGCTATATACTGACACTTAATTTTAATAATATTTTAAATTTTGATACTAAATTGTTATTATTCTAAAAATTGAATATATATATATATAATTTATTTGAATCTCTCGAAGATATATGTCTTATAGCTGGTAATAGCCTAAGCTCACCGCTAGCAGATATTTTTGAGTTTTTCTTTTTGAGCTTTCTCTCAAGATTTTTAACCCGTCTGCTACGGAGCGGTTTCCACACCCTTATAAAGAGTGTTTCGTTCTCCTCTCCCAACTGATGTGGGATCTCACATAGCTTAACCTCTTAATCAAAGATATACGTAAAAACTCAAGCCCACCGTTAGTAGATATTGTCCACTTTAGCCCATTATGTATCGCTATCAACCTCACAGTTTTCTACCTCCTTAAAGGCCAAACGTCCTCGCTAGCACACCGCTCGGTTTCAAGCTCTACTTTCATTTGAAACATTCAAAACCCACTACTAGCATATATTGTCCATTTTAGCCCATTACATATACCTTATACCTTAACCTCGAACTTTTTAGTGAAAGATAAACCGTTGCTTGAATTTACAGTGATTTCATTGAAAATTGGGTGAAAATATGCACACGAGCCAAAACCAAGACGCAATCAAATTGCAAAGATCTGAGTTTTGAGGAAAAATGCACCAACTGCGAGAGGGTAAACAAACAAAGCATTGATTTACACATAAAAACCATATGAATTTCACGGTTTATTTAATGCATATTGCAGGAGGCTGTGAATGTTTCCCTTGGAAACTTGTTATCATATCCTTTTGTACGAGAAAGTGTTGTCAACAACCAACTGTTCGTAAGGGGTGCACACTACGACTTTGTCTCCGGAGCTTTTGAGCTATGGAATCTTGACTTTAAGCTCACACCTTCTCTAGCTGTATGAACAAACCACCATATCATACGACAGAGGAGGCGGCGGCGGCGGCGGCGGCGGTTCTCGAACTCGACTGACGGGTTATATTCGAGTTTCTATGAATGCTCTTGTAATACTATAAAGAATAAGTATGATGAATGACTTGGTTCATTCTATTTAAGGTGAGTATGATATGAAGTTTATGATATCAGTCTATGTTGAGATGCTTCCTATAATTACGGATGAAAAGTTTTCTTACATATTATTACTTATGAGATTGAATAAACGAGTAGTTTTCTAATCCAACAAGTAACTAGTATTCCTGTTAAAAGGTTCGAGTGGCTTGACCGGTTTCGACTCACTGTCTACTCCCTCAACCTTTGCAAACCCACATACACGTTGACAAAAAGAGAATCCCAATAGATTCGAGAACGTTTAAATCTATCCCAGACATCATCGACGTATCACGATTTCGTTCGAGAGACTGTGAGTTAGTACAAGAGACAATGGTAAATCCTAAGTAGGTAGGTGTTTCTCGTTCAAATCTCCTTTAAATTTTTAAAATTTTCAATAATACTCTTACAATTTCAAAAAAAAAAAAAAAATCTAAACATACTGAACAATGAGTTTTTAAAAATTTTCATTGAAACCTTAAATTTATTTTAAAAAATAAAAAAATATTCTTATTCTCGGTACACATTTTTTAAATATTCCTAAATTTTTAAAAGTAACGTTAAAAAATTGAGATAATTTATGAAATATCGATAAATTATTTTTATTTATATATCGACGAAAAATTTTAAAAAAATTGTAATAAAGTTGTATTAATATTATTTTTAAAATTTCATAAATATTTTTTTTAAGTAATAAAGAAATATTTTTTTAAGGGTATTAGTGAATTTTTATTAAAAAAATATAAAATATCGTATGAGTTTAATAATATTTCATAAGAAGATAATACAATGATAAAAATAATTTCTAAAAATTTAAATTTCATATAGTTTATTTACCTTGATAGATATTAAATCGAGTGCCGGAAGATTTGAGTTGCAAGATTATTGTTGATTAAGCTCAAATCTAATTTGCCATTTTGTTTGGGGTTAATTTCGATTCGGCTGCTTGATTTGATATGATCCGATCTTGCAAACCCTAGCATGAGGTAATCGAGTATCTTCGTGTTCATTCTCCGTCTCTTCTTCTGATTCATCGTTTATTTAATCTGTTTTTCGGTTAAGTTTCGGCCATTGAATCTCTTCCTTAGCTTCAGAAGCGGGGGGAAGAGGTTTTCTTTGGTTGGGAAGAATTGTGGAACCGTGTGTAATTGGATCTTGACGGAAGAGTAGTCTAGATTTTTGTTGATTCAGTTCCAGGAAGATTCGGGCTGAGCTGTGGAAGGGTGTAAATCAGGGGGTTTTCTGTGTTTCTCTGTTCTCTCTAGCTTTGGGGAATTATACTTATGGATCTTCTCCAGTCGTACACAGATCAAAACGACGATGACGGAAGCCCTAAACAGCTTACATCTTCGCCGGAAGCCTCTCCGCCGCGGCTCCTCCCCTCCAAAACCTCGGCGCCCAAGGTTGATGATACAATGTTGGCTCTTACGGTGGCCAACGCCTACAGGACATTATCTAAGCCGATAGACCCAACTCAACATCTAGTTGCCTTCAACCCTACCTACGACCAGCTCTGGGCGCCCATTCTTGGGCCATCTCATCCCTATGCGAAGGATGGCATTGCACAGGGCATGAGAAACCATAAGCTAGGCTTTGTTGAGGATGCGTCCATTGAGCCGTTTGTATTTGATGAGCAGTACAACACTTTCCACAAATATGGATATGCTGCTGACCCTTCAGCTTCTGCTGGAAACAATTTCATTGGGGATATGGAGGCTTTGCAGAAGAATGATGCCATATCCGTGTATAACATTCCACAGCATGAGCAAAAGAAGCGGAAGATTGAGAAGAAGAAAGAAATGAGTGAGAGTGAGGATGTGGAAATGGAGTTGAACCCGGCTGAAGTTGATAACCCGGCGAGTGATGTGTGGTTGATGAAGAATAGGAAGAGCCCTTGGTCTGGGAAGAAGGAAGGTCTGCAAACTGAGCTAACTGAGGAGCAGAAGAAATACGCAGAAGAGTATGCAAAGAAGAAAGGTGAAGAGAAAGGTGGTGAGAAGGGAGAAGTTACAGCAGATAAGAGTACTTTTCATGGTAAAGAGGAGAGGGACTATCAGGGTAGATCTTGGATTGCACCACCGAAGGACGCCAAGGCCACGAATGATCATTGTTATATACCAAAAAGATTGGTGCATACATGGAGTGGGCACACAAAGGGTGTATCTGCTATTAGATTCTTCCCTAAACATGGTCATTTGATTCTTTCAGCAGGTATGGATACCAAGGTGAAGATATGGGATGTGTTCAATTCTGGGAAATGTATGAGAACCTACATGGGTCACTCTCAGGCAGTTCGGGATATTTCGTTTTGTAACGATGGGTCCAAGTTCTTGACTGCTGGGTATGATAAAAAGATTAAGTATTGGGATACAGAAACAGGGCAAGTGATATCAACCTTCTCGACTGGGAAAATTCCTTACGTAGTTAAGCTCAATCCTGATGATGATAAGCAGAATATTTTGCTGGCAGGGATGAGTGATAAGAAGATCGTTCAGTGGGATATGAACACAGGACAGATTACTCAAGAGTACGATCAACATTTAGGAGCAGTGAATACCATTACATTTGTAGACAATAATAGGAGGTTTGTCACGTCAAGTGACGACAAGTCGCTCCGTGTTTGGGAATATGGGATTCCTGTTGTTATTAAGTATATTAGTGAGCCTCATATGCATTCCATGCCCTCCATATCGGTACACCCCAATACGAATTGGCTTGCAGCACAGAGTTTAGACAATCAAATTCTTATCTATAGCACTAGGGAGAGATTTCAGCTAAACAAGAAGAAGAGGTTTGCTGGCCACATTGTGGCAGGATACGCTTGTCAGGTCAATTTTTCACCAGACGGACGCTTTGTTATGTCTGGCGACGGTGAGGGTAAATGCTGGTTTTGGGACTGGAAAACCTGCAAGGTATTCAGAACTCTCAAGTGTCACGAAGGAGTATGCATTGGCTGTGAGTGGCATCCATTAGAACAGAGTAAAGTAGCAACGTGTGGCTGGGATGGACTGATAAAGTATTGGTAAGTAAATCCCTTTATTCTTATAAATGTTTAATGGAGGTTATGCTAATTCATCCTTCTTTTATCCTTCACTATGTCATATTTCTTTTCAATGGCTCTGCAGTATGATGATCAAATGTTCATTAAATTTGGATTTCTCTACTGCCTTTGGTGTTTTTTTTTTTATTGAGATCTTCCTATTGGCCTAGCTTTTTAGTATTTGAATGCAACTTCTTTACCCGGTGGCCTCGTTATCCACACATCTGGTAGGATGAATGGAGGACCGACCCGGGTTTTCATGAGGCACCAAAACAACTGACTTCAATATTTGAAGTCATTTTTCTGTTGTTTTGGGAACTAGCTTTAGTTGTCAAAGGACTTGATAGGAACTAAACTTTGGAGTTTGGGTATTATTTTCTGCTAGTGAATCCATTGTTTCACAGTTATTGTGGAATATCCATATTTTGGTAAAGATTTTCATGCCTTCTGTAATTGTCACGGCTAGGACCAAATGGTTTTTGCCTGTGGTGGCAACTGAAGTTTTGATTTGATAGAAAAGCCTAAGTAGTTTTATCAAAATCTTTTTGTTTTAATGCTCAACTGATTTGTATTTGTTATTCTACACCTCCTGCCTTCGTCATGTGATTCTTAGATTTTGTTATGCTGCTAAATTTTTAGATTCCTCGATGATAAAATGTGTTATACCATTCATATTCTTGAACTTGTAACGTACGGTAAGTATGGATCGTTTGAATGGTTTTCTTCCTCAAGTGAAGTAGCCATTAGTCATTCCTGTTCTTTTCCTACAATCAAATTTGTTCTACTATTCACCTTATCCGACTCTAGCTTTCAGCAAGTATGAATCATTCTGGATGATTTTCTTATTCATGAAAAAAAGGGAGCCGGTTTGCAACGGTTCAAGCCCACCCGCTAGCATATGTTGTCCTCTTTGAGTTTTCCCTTTTGCCTTCAAAGTTTTTAAGATGCATATGCTAGGGAGAGGTTTCTATACCCTTATAAAGAGTGTTCCGTTCTCCTCCCGACCGACGTGGGATCTCATGGCTATTACTATTTTTCGAGCTTCCCTTCAAGGTTTTTAAAACGCGTATGCTAGGAGGAGGTTTCCACACCCTTATAAGGGGTGTTTGTTTCATTCTCCTCCCCAACCGACTGGGATCCCATGGCTATTACTATTTTTCGAGCTTCCCTTCAAGGTTTTTAAAACGCGTATGCTAGGAGGAGGTTTCCACACCCTTATAAAGGGTGTTTGTTTCATTCTCCTCCCCAACCGACTGGGATCCCATGGCTATTACTATTTTTTGAGCTTCCCTTCAAGGTTTTTAAAACGCGTATGCTAGGAGGAGGTTTCCACACCCTTATAAAGGGTGTTTGTTTCATTCTCCTCCCCAACTGACTGGGATCCCATGGCTATTACTATTTTTCGAGCTTCCCTTCAAGGTTTTTAAAACGCGTATGCTAGGAGGAGGTTTCCACACCCCTTATAAAGGGTGTTCCGTTCTCCTCCCCAACCGACGTGGGATCTCATGGTTATTACCATTTTTCGAGCTTCCCTTCAAGGTTTTTAAAACGTGTATGCTAGGAAGAGGTTTCCACACCCTTATAAAGAGTGTTTCGTTCTCCTCCCCAACCAACGTGGGATCTCATGGTTATTACCATTTTTCGAGCTTCCCTTCAAGGTTTTTAAAACGTGTATGCTAGGAAGAGGTTTCCACACCCTTATAAAGAGTGTTTCGTTCTCCTCCCCAACCAACGTGGGATCTCATAGTTATTACCATTTTTCAAGCTTCCCTTCAAGGTTTTTAAAACACATATGCTTGGAAGAGGTTTTCACACCCTTATAAAGTGTGCTCCATTCTCCTCCCCAACCGATGTGGGATCTCAGGACCCTTACTATTTTTCATATACTTGTCATATCATCTTGTAATTCATCTTTCTTTTACTGTTTGATTGGCACATGATTGAATGAGACATTGGGAAATAGTTCATCATTGGGAATAGTTGTGGAATGATCTCTGCTCCGCTTTTGCTAGTTTTTTGTTCCTATAGAAGATTAATATCCATATTTGTGGAATGCAGGGACTAGATTAGAGCTTTTGACATATTAGCGCTGTGATTGACTGAGAAAGCTATGCGCCTGAGACGTTTGGCCTCTGAAGTGTACACTTCACCTTGAATTTTGTGTTGCATCATCTTAGTTTTAGTTATCATCCCAAGTTCATTGTACTCTTAGTTTCTTACATTTTTGTATACTGAATTAATACAAAATTTTACTTCTTTCACTCCTTTATGTTGCCTGCTTTTGCGTAGAACTGAACAATTCTCATGTATACTTGCATACAGGCACAATAAGGTCATTAAGTTATTGATTGTGGAACAAATGAGTGTTTAGTCCCTAAGAAGTTGATGTCTACTACTACTTGGTACTTGATGTTTCATAAGAGATGCTCTAGGTTTGCAAAAGACTTCTAAATAGCCCTCGACTTAACCTTAGCCTAATAGAGCGGTTATCTATGAACGTGGGTTGGTGACACGATATTTTGTTTTAATTACATTGAAACTTTCGGTAAAATTTTAGTCTCAAATGTTAGGAAAAAAAACCTACTAAATGGCATTATTACGATGTGTTTGTTTCTTAATAACTAATCGATGTAAATAAAAAAAAAAACTTTGCTCTATAATAATCATTGGATACAAAAGGCTAAAATAAATTTACATATTCTCGTAGATTCAATGGACAGCATTATCTCGTTCAATGTCTTTCTATAAATTCAATGGACAGTATTATCTCATTCAATGTCTTTCTGTAGATTCAATAGATAGCATTATCTCGTTCAATGTCTTTCGGTAGATTCAATAGACATCTCGTAGATTTAATGGACAATATCATCTCATTCAGAGACTCCATTTTTTCCATATTTGAATTAAAATTGGAGATACTTCTCTAAATTAGATAGATTCATATCGAAAAAAGTTTAAAATAAATTCCTTCCAAATTGACTATTTGTCCCTCAGAAACGTTCTAAAAATATATGTGATCGAGTAAATAGCTCGATTGAAAAAGGGAAAGATTTCTACAACCTTTCGTCACTTCAGGAAAAATTGTTGGTTAAATTTTATAGATGGTTGAAATGAAAGGTGGCATGGGAGAACCCTGAGAAAAAGGAAGTGAGCTGACCTACTTGCGAAATAGAGGAATCACTTCATAAATTTCCATCATTTTCACTTTAGTTTTTACTCAAAATTAAAATTAAAATAAAAAATGTCAACTTATTTGACATGTGATAAAACGAATCGAGATCCGCAACAACAAACAACAATTTAGTCATTACTCCGTTCCGTTCTATTAAGTCAAGTCATCAACTAGTTAGAACTATACTACGAACTTTAAAGACTAAAATTTAAATTGGATTCGATAAAGTGTCTTTAATAAAGTATTTTCTTATTCTTAAGAATCATAGATTACAGGTTTGATTTTTGTATGCATCAAGCAAAGAGGAGGGTAGGAGCCGTCACTCACAATAGAAACACAACGATCCTATGAACAAATTTACTCCCCAAGTCCACTCCACAAAATGGTCTAAAGCCAAAGGTTTAGGTATATGTTCACTGGGAATTCCAGCCAAGTGATAGCCTTTCCTAGCTCGTCTAACTCGATTTCTTAGTGTTATGATGCGATCCTAACAACCCACGACATAACTTCAACCTATTGCAAACACTTATTGAGGATTTAAATTTCTGAGTTTTTTCGAATATCATACCTAAGATCAGTTGGCTGCTAGACGAGAACGGTAAGATGGCTTTAGCTTCACTAGCCAAGCGCGATCGACGATAGCACAGCCCGAGCGAATCCCAAGTGAACTACTACTTGTAACAATGTGCACCATTTTGCGTAAAACGACCTGCTAATTCATTGTTTTGGAGCATGATCTGAGGAGGAGCTATCAACAGAACCTGCCAGGCATTGCCTTTTCAAAATTTGGAACTCTATTTTGAGCAGACATTTTATCCTCGTCCTCAAGCTGGAAGCTTCCTGGGGTTTGAACCACCTCTTGCCAAACTGAGATTTCATGAGCAAAACACCACATCGTGTCATGTAACGTCAATCATGCATTCGAGGAGCATGTTTCGGATTATAAAAGTCAGTTCATAAGCATAAATACCATATCCAAGTCCTTCCTTTTTAGCCTATCAGGAGCCTCTTCAATGAAGCGCTCGATGAAGTATAGAACAAAGAGACCACAGTCATAGTCGTTCTTTTGCTGCGGAACCTGGTGATGGGATCCAAGATACAAAAGAATGATCTAAAATTATTGAGTTCATGAAGGAAAACATAACTAATAAGAGCAAGGAGACTACCTGGATTATTTTCTCTTCAATTCTCCGAGAGATATTTTTCCATATTCTATATGGCATTGGAAGATCTAAACAAGCAACTTCTCGATCCAAGTAGCACCATTCCTCTTTTATAAAGCTACAGATCACAATTTATTCAATTGGATCTTAATCATTTTTAAGAACATTTTAACATTATATCTAAAAGAAGGTCCAGAAAACAAATCATACAATAATATAAATTTCACCAACGTGGGTGGTGATCAAAAAATTTCCAGAAATGGTTAGGGGCTTACATACCTTTTAATGTTATCAAAAACTGATCGGCTAGAGTGAAGTCCCAGGGAATCCAAATGAAGTATAATGGGTCCAGATTCATCTTCCTTCTGTGGAAAACATATAATCACCAAACTCCAGTGGAGACTGAACACATCACAAACCAAAAGATCAAATCAAAATTCTGGGCAACATACAGGATTCTTGTTAAAACCGACCAGCACAACACTGACACATAGGACATAATATCCTAGATGATCAAGGCAGCTGATTAGAAGCTCGCCCTTTGGCCATGGGACCAGCCCAACGTGGCCAGTAACAGGAATAATTGAAAAGTTACAGACAATGTCTACAGGAAATAAATAGCACAATCGTTGATCAATGTGATGAGATTCAACACATTCACGGGGAACGAGAACAGCTAAATAAATAATAGCGTGCACTGATAGCGCCATTAACTCAGAGAGAAGTTATTGCACATCTAGATATAAAAGAGTTGATTATAGAAACTTACTCCTCATGGATTGGAATCAGTACATATGCCTTTTGAAATATATTAACGCCCTTCCACCACCTTCTGAACTTGACGAAAAAATTCTCTCTATCCTTCCCCTTACCATGTCAAAATATTCAAAATCAAGAATAACTTCATTACCCAAGAAAAGATAAGGGCGACTTATAAAGGAAGATGAGGCATGATATTGCTCCCAAACGAAAATCCTAAAGTGCTATTTTGGGTGTGGGTTTGACATCTTTGTTATGTCTCAACTTTTCTGCATATGATATAACATCATATATGTTACAGGTCATGTAACCATAACATTTTGCATCACATGCCAATGTGCGTTTCCATATCCACTAAATAAAGTGTATAAAAGCAATAAAAATAGGTTATAAACCATACACCTAGGTGTGTCAGGCAGATACATGCCTCATGTCTGACAAGGCAGTCTAGCTTGGGTGTGAGCCTTCTTAGTGCATCACAATAAAGTTTACATATTTCTTTACACACACTAATATTTTGCCCCTCTTTCGCTAAATGCAAGTACAACTTTTACCTCCAAAAAAATCTGCAATTTCTTCTTCTTTGCCTCCTTTTCTTATAAATGAGTTATATACAAGACGTAATAATTTTCTATATTTATACTAAAGTTATTATCTTCTACGAATGTGTTATTGATCCTTAAATTATGCATCTAGGCAGACTCTGGCCTCACCTTGGGGGTATGTTCACAGAAACTGTGGCACCATAGTATTATAGATTGCTCTCGAGAAAAAAATGAAACAATCACTAAGAAGTGAAGGAATTGAAACACCCTTGATAAGTGTATAGGAATTAGGACTACCTTGTTTGATACAGCCTCCTTTAGCTTTTCGTAAAAATAAGTATTGAAAAAGTGATAATTGCATATCACCTTCTTTGTTGAAAATGCTTGTTGCTGTAAATACCTACATAAGGAGGGAAGTTGCACATGGAACACAAACTGCATCAATATACCAAAAAGTTCAACTAAAAAAAAGGGGAAAACAAATGTAACAGGAAAGATAAACAGACTATAGCAATGATATCCAGCATATATAGCATGTGCGGCCCTTAAGGAGTGTCTCTCAGTTAAGGCTGAGTTTGTGGAGGTGGTTAGAAGGGAAACGGTGAGCTGGAGTTCTTGCAAAGGGTTTGGGCTTAAGTGAGATTGTGATTCGGAGATGTGTAAGATCAGTCAGGTATTCTATCCTCGTCAACAGAAAGCCTAAGGGTAGAATTCATGCTTTGAGAGGCCTTAGACAGGGTCCTCTCTTTTCCTTCCTCTTCTTATTGGCTGTGGACATTATCAGTAGAAGGGTATCGAGAGGGGTTGTGTATTAGGTTTTAAGGTTGGGAGCGATGATTTCTCTCTTTCTCATTTGTTTGTTGATGATACAATACTCTTTTGTTTTTGCAATGAAGACTATGTTAGGGCTGATATCAATAGAATCAAATGTCAACTCTGGGGTCTAAACTGCAATGAAGTTAAGTTTAGTTGGTTGGGTTGTTTCTTTTTGTCTTAATTAAGTTTCACTATAGGTCATTGTTCTAGAAACAATTTATTTTGGGATCCGACGGTGAGCAAGATTTGCAACAATCTCTTTTGTGGAAGAAGAGTTATTTTTGAAAGGGGGTAGACTTACTCTTATTCAAGGTGTGTTGAGTGGTTTCTCGAGCAATGTCCCTTTTTAGGGTTCTGGTGACTATGAGTAAGTCTATTGAAAGGATCATGAGAGTTTTTCCTTAAGAAGGGCTTGAAGAAGGAAAAGTGTCACACTTTGTAAAGTGGGTGGCAGTAACTAAACCTAGGTCCCTAACAGAGCGTTCTTGGCTAAATGGCTACGGTTTTTCCATCTCAAGTCTAATTCCCTTTGCAAAAGATCATTGTGAGTAAATATGGGTCATTCCTTTTCGATTGGACTAGGAAAGGGGTTCAAGGCACTTCTAGACGTTGAATAGGTGAGTAAGGGTCTAATACCTTCTTGACACTATCAAACCTGAAATCCACTCTCAATCGCTTTTTTTTAGTGGGAATGAAGGAAGGAAAAAAGTCCCCAATTTTCTTTTTAAATCGCCGTTGACAAACATTACATATTGAAAAGGTGCATCCCAAACTTGAAATTCAAAATAAAACAAGATAAAAGAAAACCAGAAAAAGAAAGGTAAGTCAAGTTATGCCTCGAGAGGAGGGAAAACCCCTTCTAAACATAGAAAACAGATAAAGTTCCAGCGAAACAACAAGAACTTATTTCAAATTATAAGAAA